TGCATTTTCTGCGGTGACCCGGGCCATATCATCAAATATTGTCCCAAGTATAGAGAGACCCGAACGGCTGCCCAAGGGCCAAAAGGCAGCCGCCGGTAGGGGTAGCAACTGCCCCTACCACTAGGCCATGTGGGGAAAATAGCGCTAGCCGGCAGGAGACTCCCACACCACATGTGCCTACGGCAGAGGTTGCAGGCCGGTGTCTAGACAACTGTCCCAAAACTGCTTGTGTTAGAGTTTCGCTAGAAATCTCCCTCACAGGCGTGGCCGAAGAGTTGAAGGAGAGGATGCCCGCCTGGGCCAAGATGAAGAAGGAGAACAAAGGGCAGCTTATATTACTAGATACAGAGATTTTTAGAAGTAGAGTAGGGGCTCTAGTAGACTCAGGGGCCACTCACAGCTATATTAGTAAGAAAGCGCTGCAGAAGTTGAGGCTGGGACTTAAAGTCCAGAAACTGACAGACCCCATAGTTAGTATCCTCGCGGACAATCGTACTATGATTGTAGAGGATTACGTAGAGGGAGTCCAGGCGTATTTCCGCCTAGAGAAAGATGGGAAAGTGGAGAAGGTCCTCCACTCCCTGACTCTCCTCGTAGAGGACAGCCTCCCATTTGACATTGTCCTAGGAATGGATTGGGGAGAGGCAGCCGGGGCCACACTCCATTTGAAGGAGCACGAGTGTAGGCTCCCTAGCTCGTCAGGCGAGGCCAAGACTGCCCGCCTGTTCCATGTGTCAGGGGTAGAGAATCCCTTGGCGCACTGCTGCCTTAGTGCCCCCGCGTTCGCCAGACTGGTGAAGAAGAAGGGATTGGAGGAACAGGTCTTTGTTGCCTACGTTAGGCCAGTGACTGAGCCTACGGAGGAGAAGCCGATGGACCCCGCGATTGCCAAGCTGCTGGAAGGATTTGACTGAGCCGCCGACAGGCACGATGCCGCGGCCCATCCAGCACCGTATTGAGATAGAGCCTGACAGTAAAACTCCTAAGGGTGCGGTGTATAGGATGTCCCCACGGGAGTTAGAGGAGCTGCGGAAACAGTTGGACGAGCTCCTTGAAAAGGGTTGGATTAGGCCCACTTCGTCTCCTTTTGGAGCCCCTGTTCTCTTTGTACCTAAGAAAGAGGGAGAGCTAAGGATGTGTATAGACTATAGGGGTCTGAATGCCATTACAGTGAAGAATGCTGAGCCACTGCCTAGGATAGACGATCTCTTAGATCGAGTGCAGGGGGCGAAGTATTTCTCCAAGATAGATTTGGAGTCCGGATATCATCAGATAGAGGTACATCCTGATGATCAGTACAAGACGGCCTTCTGGACTAGATATGGGCACTACGAGTTCATAGTGATGCCCTTTGGACTAACCAATGCGCCAGCTACGTTCC